AAGGAGGAGGAAGGGGGAGGAGGAGGAGGAGGAGGAGGATGAGGAGGAGGAGAAGAAGAAAAAGAAGAAGAAAAAAACTTGCTCACCTCAACACTCAGGGGCAAGAAACTCACAAGGCTGTAGTCTTCAACTATGCCCACAAGAGCCTCATTAAGTTTTTTGTACTTGTGCAGCAGAGGATCATCCTGCAGACAAGGTCAATTACAAAGAAAATTAGAGAACAACTTCCGAGTCAGTGAACCACAGGAAACAAATATTTTAAAAAATGTAAATGATGTGAAACATACATAACAAACAGGAGCACATTTTCTTAACCTTCCCATTTAACTCTGTTATTCTTTGTTCAGCACATTTTACATATGATTTTTTTTTACTAGAGTGTAGTAACCTGTAGAATGATAAATATTCAAAATGAACAAAATAAATAATCAAGGTACCAAAAGGCATCAGAGAGTGTGAGGAATGGAGTTTATAATTCAAAGAATACACCTGGTCATTTATATTTGAGAACTTTTTCTAAACAAAAGCATTTTTCAAATATATGATTCTAAATGAGTAAAAATAAACAATTAACCAATGAGCACACATACAGTCAACAGGCAAACCTGCTTTAACAACCATCTGTCCAAGACAATCACCTGTACTAACAACCACTTCCCACTTTCATATTGTGTTTTTGCTACATAATAATGATACTGTTCAAGACTTTTTCAAAGACAACCACTTTTGTCATCAACACTGGGTGGCTGTCTTGGACAATTTCGACTGTATCAAAGAATTAAGGCATTTAAAATGATTAAATTGTAATCAAAGAGAATCTTTAACTAACCGCAGGCGCTATGAATGAAAAAGACTCAATTGTTGCAGATACGTTTTACAAAAAGTGAGACATCAAGAGTTAGTTTATATTTCCAGAACTATGTTAACTAATCATCTTCCTAGGTTAAGACATGGGATGACTAATATTCATAAAGGTTTGAAAGAAATCACCTGAAGAAGATCAAGCAAAAACTGCAGATCCAGCACATCAGTGTAGAAATCAGGATTGAATGCAAGTTTGCCATGTTTCTCAATTAGATCAACTTTTGACAACACGTTCACATGAGGCAAACTCAGCTGAAACAAAAATAACATGACATCAGTATACCAATGATAGTACATAACAAGATGGGCCACTTCTCTCTTTGAGCCAATTAAAAAAGTGTCCTCAAAATTTGGTGGCGCCCTCTTCACAAAAGCGCACTCTTTGCGAACAGAGTTACCCTACTTGAGTTTTTAAAAATCAAAGTGAAACTAGCAAGTTTTGGGATAAATTTCGGAAGAACGCTTTTTAAAAATGGTTACGCTGACAAAAAACCTCTTCCGGAGGAAAGGGTGATTGTTTTCTTCGTTTAATTTGACTTTAGAATGAAAGGCGAGAGGTCATTAAAGTATAAATAACCTAAAACTCTGCACTGAACGAACTCGAACTGCTGATGAACAGCAGTCGATCTGCGCACGCAAGGAGGTGCTATTCCTATTCTTCTTCTGGAAAAACGAAAGAGAGCTTCAAAACAGACTGCAGCGCCATCTGAAGCAAAGAGCATACTTCCTGCGGACACTTTTTAGGCTGAGTGGCCCATCTTGTCTTGTAATATCTTTGAGTATACTGCTTTCAGTACAACAACAGCAACAAAAGCAACCACCATCATAAAAACAAAGCAGCAAATACTTTCAACAAATTTTAAGTGATCTTGTTGTTCAGCGTGAAATATAATCCTCATTTCATCATCAAAATGAGAAAACTTAGCAGAGAAAAAGGGAAAGGGGGAGGGGGGGGTGCTCTCGTGGTCTAGAGGTACAGTGTTTGCCTCATTTTGCCCCCCCCCCTTTCCCCACTCCCCCCCTCCTCTTGGCTCCTGACTCTTTCCATTGCTACTCCTAGCTCTTTCTTCCTGCTGTCTTTCAGCCATACCCTTGATCTTTGGGTAGGTAAGATCGAACACCTTGCCTTCTCAAAAGAGGGCGAAAAAATCTCAGAGGTCCCCTGTGCAAATTACACATGTTAAAGATCCCTTGGTGGTCCTAAAATGAATAAGAGTAGGTTTCAGCCACCATCCCAGCAAAATTCAAAATTAATTCCTGCCAAAACTGCTGGCATGCTCATACTACCTTATGCAGTATTGAGCACCGTAATACCCTTACCAAAACTAAAGAAAAGGGAAGGGCAACCAGTGTGCAACCCTTGGGGAGAGTAACATGTATAAAGTTTAAAATGTTCACATATTTTGTCACTTCAGCTATACAAAGATTACCAGTTACAGCTCTGCTATGGTACATGAGAACATAAATAACATAAAAGAGACAATGTTTTCAAAGAGCAGTGAAAGAAATCATGTAACTTTAAAAATTGAGGAAGTATGTTACAAATTCAAGAGGATCATTTTGTATTACCTGTAACATTGTGTTCAGGGATGTCAGTAGAACAGCCACAAATTTCCCGGGATCAGTGCAGTAATGAGAGTCCACAAGGTGGACAGCAGTTAGCCGGACATCCCATGAAGTCAACTTCTCAAGAATATTCTTCACAGAGTTGTGGTGGGTGAACAGCTCTACCTGATACAGGTCAAATAAAAACACAACATATCGAAACTTCAACTAAAAGTTAATAAAGTTCAAACATCTTAGTGTGGGTGGTTAGTGGGTGCTCTGGTGCGGTTTGCTCCTTCTTTCCTATCAAACATTTATCATCCTTATATAAAATTTCTCCTCCGTTTTGTATATATACGTTACTCTCTTGTAACACATCTATTCTTCGGAACTTATATGATATTGTGTTGCAAGTGCCATACTCTTACAAAAAAAGCAAACAAAACATGTAAGTGTCAGTGCTTCCAACAGACAAAGCAGAAAAGTAGGGAAAATTATATGTGATGTTCAGGGTCCACGGACAGCATCCTGGTGGGGGGTTCAGGGAACAAAACCCCAAAAGAAATTGAAATTTTGTGTATTCAAAGAATTGAAAAAGGCATTTGGGAGCATGTCTGGAAGGATTGCCAACAACCCACAAATCCCAAATTTTCACAAGTTTGTCTCATTTTATCTGATTTCTTCATTTACACCTAAAACATATGTTCTATGGGATTTTCAGGATGTACAGATTCCCGTAAAAATATGTATGACTGAAAGCACTGTCATATGCTGCCATATGGAGTTTACATTTGTGTGCAACTGAAAACAACGGAAAAAGAGACTGTAAATAAAACCAACTACTAATTTTTATGGGGGTTTTTATTACCAAAAAAAATGCATAGAATTAAAAAGAACAACAATTTCTTTAACATACTTTTTTTCAAATTTATTCTTCAAATGCTCAAGAACACAAGGAAGATTCATGGAATCAAAGCTTGTCCATTTTGATGATGAACTCTAAAGCATTTTATTTGAAGACACCTTTCATGAGCAGTTTCCCCAGTTTCAAGGTTGATCCCACTGTATTTTAGGTCCAAGTTCCCATTCATTTAGTTTTTAAAAAACTTAACTTATCAATGGAACTGAATAAAATAGCAACATGTCGCCCATTGTGGAGACCAGCTCTTGCTTATATTTATCAGAAGGCATTTCCATTCAATTCTTCTTGCTAAACACAAATTAACTTTCACAAAGTCAGTACTTAAGGTTAACCTTGATCTATAATACAGCTTAAAGAAACAGCATTAATACACACAAAGAAACAATGAAATACATTCACCTGTCCAGGGAAGTCAAACAGCAGGTATTTGTCTTTTAACCCATCCAACTTTGCCTTTAACCAGTCAATATTTTGTTCCAAATATTCCATGCAATATACAAGCCCACCATTAGGCCCAAGACGCAGATGGGCCATCACATCCTCTAAAGACACGAGCTCCGATATGTCCACATCACATGGGTAAGGAAGGATGTCATTTGCTGGGTCCATGTTTATGACAGCAACCTCACGTTTCAAGGAAGACAGAAACTGTTGCATGCCTAGAGAAGAGGAATCATACAAAAGCTCTTTAAAAAAAACAACTAAAATCAAAACCACTGCTTGTCAGTGAAGAGGAGACCTTAATAAGCACAAAAAGACTTTAAAAGCAAAACACTTCTTTTTTTTATTAAGGTAATGTCTGTGAGTTAATTGTGTCAAAGTGAACATTTGATTACAAGGAGATGTGATTGTGATGTAGAGTAGAGGTACCAAACATTACCATGAGTGAAAACCATAGTTATATTTTGAACTTGTTTGGACTGATGAAACAATCAGCATGTGCCCACATTAAAAAAAATAGTTTATTTTCTATTATAATCAAGACATCCATCATGGTACAAGTACCAGGTTGCAGCTATGTTCACTTCCTCCCACATTCATTACTTAATGTTACATAAGTAGGTACGTTTGGGCCTAGAAGCTGAATCTTGGCCATTATCTATAATAAAATCAATAATAAAAAAAATTAAAAACCTAACAACTACAGACTTAAGCTGTGCCTAACATCTGCAAAATATGGCTAGATTTACATACACTTCAACTACTTCAAGTCAATAAATCATAACAGCTACAGAAAATGAATATAAAATTAATTTTGTAAGGTAGAATCATAACAGGAAAATTGAAACGTTTATAGAACTCAGAACAAATTCCAAAAGAAGAAAGGAAATTTTAAGTTACGAAAAAAAAAAAAGAGAAAGAGGTTCATGAAACAGACTGACAAGAATTTCAGTCCGATATGACCACACTGTGGAACCTGTGCTCTTTTTTTGTAGCCTGCAAGTGTGTAGCATTTGACTGTGTGGTCTTACGAAAGTGAGTGCTCACTTTTGCTCGTGTATGTGAGGCATAATGGTGAAATCAGGTGCTCGCCAAAATGATCAAACCAAAGAAATCTACATTTTACTGCACGTTAAGGAATTTTTATCAATTTTCTTACTTTGGGCTCAACACCTCTTATGTCCATTTAAAAACACATTCCTCCATGGATTTTCTAATAGAAAATCGTTGATCAAAGGCACAAGAATTGTAGAATTGCAGTTTCATCAGACAGTGCAGCTTTGGAAACCACTAGTTTGGTGGCCATTTTTTCAGCCCACACCTACTTTCAATTGTAAATTTTATACTTCGACTTCAATTCGAGATAGATGGGTATTTTTTAAAACCAAAAGCAAGGTAATTGAATAGGCTTTAAGATTAGACCAATTCTCCACATGCTCCAAAAACTGACAAGTGCCTGATTCCACCACGTCGTGACACATGTCATGGTGATCTACTAGTCCAACGACACATGAACATTAATTATTTAATATGTAGAGTCCCCTTCATATTGCGATAGGACTAGTGGAACATACATGGATACAGGCAAATGAAAACGTACATTTTTATGCTCACACAGCCACCTCTTTAAAAAACTAAATGAATTTAAAAAGATGTGTGATATAAAAAGCAAGAAAAAAAACAACTAAAAGGGAGACAGGGGTGTGGGTGATAGAACTGTATCTTTCAAAAGAAGCTCTGTAAAAGCCCAGAATTAAAAGGACAAACTGTTGAAGTGAAATGACAAAAACAAAAATTTCAAGATGAAAGATAATTAATTCCTTTTCAGGCAGATTTTGAGTTTCAGAACTTAGACAGTCATTGACTAATTAGCTTAGCAGAATATTTTCTTTGACAGTAGTGGCCAATTGAGTAGCATTCAGAGAGTCAGTCCTCATGCTACCACACTTAATCGTTGTAAAAATTTAAAAAGAATCAGTATCTGGTAATACTCCACACTACAGTTTCATTTTAGTTTCTTTAAATTTCGGTCTCACCATGACAGTATGTTGTTTTCCCTGCCCCTGGAGGACCAATGACTATCTGCCCAAACATCGTTTCATAAATTCAGCAGCCTGAAAAAGAAAAGATAATAAAGACGACACTTATAACATAGAATATATCAATACTCAAAGTTTAAACTGACTTTATATGGCCACTTCTATATATTCTCACCCCTGGTGAGAATAGCTCATGACCCGCTATTCTCACCCCCACCCCGGTGTGAGCATGGGCATGAGGCGATAGAATCTAGATCTATAATTGTGAGGACCCGTAGGTATCTACGTTCTGCTCTTGAGTCTTGACATTTTGTCCTTGCATCCAGTGGCGGTGGGTGGACCAAGATTTGGGTGGGGTTTAGGTTTCTCCCACTTCTTCATCACCAAAAAGCAAGCAATAAGAACAAAACAGTGATAACTTTTCTATACTCACTGCGAGCCACGGCATTTTGAGAACCTTTCAAACGAGAAGTCACCTTTGTCTTCCATCTCTTTGCTCTTAGTTAAAGTTAAGCTCTTCTGGATGGTGGGGACGAAGCTGTTTCACCTCCAAATTTCTCTAATTAGTTTTTATCTGAAGAAAAAGTTGCCTCAAAAGTGGTTTGATGTAATTAATAACTGTTAAATCTCAGCGGCACAAACACACAGCACTCCAAACACATACGTTCTATGAGGTGGATAGGGTCGTGTTGTTGCGGAAAATAGAACGCGCCTAACAAAGGCCCAATGGGCGCATAGGTATCTGTGTCACTGGGGGAAAGTGTGTCGTAAACTTTCACCCCATTGTCAGGGCTGGGAGAGCGTGAGCCCTCTGTGCAGTGTAATTTTGTAAAAGTCTTCTCTACCTTTTAACAAGAAGAGTTTCATTAAAGACGGGCGTGGGAACCGGCTTATTCTTTCTGAGCCCTAACTAATGACATTTGATTGGCTGTTAGGTTACTATAGTTGTAAGTGGTGACAACAATGATTGGATAAACGGGCAAGCCACCAAGCTGATAACTGTGTTCATTGCGTGCGATCATGACGGTTTCAACTGCTTATTATTTCGTTATTTAAGAAACTTTCAGTAACTAAGGGATAGAGTTGGGGCGGAGAGGGGGCGGGGGTGAGGGGCTCAAGCCCGTAAGCCCTTCACTACCCACCGCCACTGCTTGCATCCATAGATTACTGATCTAGAATATCTAGATATCTAGATGGATCTAGACTAGATTTCTAGTCTATTTTTTTTGTGTGTGTGTGTTTTTTTCACTGTTGTTAGCTGTTCATGATTCATGGATGATGGGGTGAAATGGCCTTCACCCAGTTCGTTGCCATAAACTAAACCTGAAACTTATCTCAACAACTTATTCTCTGTGCTGTTCTGTGAGTGTCTATAGACTGTAGTATAGGCCTACTGTTTGCTAGCACACCTGAGGGGGTTGGAATAGCGAGACACAGGGCCATAGGAGGGATTTTTTTGTGATTTAGTTGTGTATTAACTGTCCAGAGATGTCAGTGCGCCCGCAAGGGGGTGGGGGGGTTACAACAATACATTCTCATTCAATAATGTATTTACTAGAATCTAATCCGAGAGAGGAACCACACAATCTTGAGGCTTGAACTAGACGTCTAGAGGCCGATTTGCTGTGTTGACTGACTGACTGTGGTGCGTGTAATATGAAGATCTACAGTATTCTACAGTTGGCCTAGAGGCCTAGATCTAGTGTGTAGTAGTGTAGTGTGTATAGCCTACACTGTTGTTTTTTTTAAATATAAATTTGGCAAATTGCGGAGAGTTAGCTCCCCCCGCCTTACGTCTCCGTATTTAACTTTGGTCTTTGGTCATTGTTTGTGTTATTGCTCAGTCTGAAAACTTCTGAGATGAGAACTTCGGGCCACTTGGCCTACTGACTGAGAAGTCGTTGGTTGACTCGGCGGCCGGTCAGACATCGTTCAGCAGCTTGTCTTGTATTTGAATAGAGATGTGAAGAGAGTGCGCAGATAGCCTAGGCCTAGATCTAAGTGTTTCAAAGTGCTTACAAAAAAAAAAAAAAGAAGGTTAATCCACCCCTAGATCTAGTTACCGCAATGGAATAATGTGCTTTGCTGTTTTCCTTTCTTTTATGCTGTTTTTACTTGGCTTATTGTGGGCAATGACTTCAATTTATTCAGGATTCAAACCTGGTGAGTGCCTTCTTGTCTGATACTGACTCTGCTGATCTGAATTTGGAACGTTCATTATCATCTTAGAATTTAAATTGAATATAATAATTTGATACGGATCTAGAAAATCTAGTCTTCAGAGTGTAGTTAAACTACGATTCTGGTAGTTAAATCTAGTACGAATTGCGACTGACATTGTCAATGTGTAACGACACTCTGCAGTCTGCAGTTAGTGCAGTCCCATCATCAATTATTTTTGCAACTTTGTGCAGACTAGGCTACTGTGACCTATAAAATGATGATTTTACTAATAAAAATTGATATCAAGCAATTAGTACTCGAACTCGCAATGGTCAAGTCTCTGTAGCTGTTCGAGCCTAAATAGTAAAACAGCCCATACACGATCAATTATTGTGCCGTCCTGGTTGCACAATAAATTGACAGTTTTTAGGTTACCCACACGGTACACAGCTCAATATAAAATTGACGATTTAATTGCTCAAACCAGGCTCATTTTGGACATTTTGGTTAGATTGCAACCCACTGAGACAGGATGGGGGATTTTGACCCAGCTGGCAGTTCTTGCTCTTGCTGCAGAAAACGAAGATGATTTCCCAAAAAGGAAACGTGCGGAATAGTCAAAAGAATGGTTTCTGCAGTGTTCAAAGTTTGAATACACACAAAAATTATTACTACGTGAACTCAAACATATATGAGCCTCAGGATTTTCAAAACTTCAAAACTTTCTGCATGGATGTCCGGTCCTACAATTAAATGAGCTGTTGCAAATGGTTGAGCCCCTGATCAGAAAGCAAACTACCGATACGTGAGCCCCTCCTACGGAGCATTACACTGCATTACTTGGCCACAGGAAATACTTTTGAGGATCTGAAGTTCGTAATGTGCTATTGCACCTCCGAAACCAGAGAACTCGTCACTCGGTGAATTCAACATAGCTGAAAAATGTGTGGCAAGTTCACCGGAAAAAAAAAAGTATCCAAATAACAGTGGACTCGTCACACCACTTAGACCAGTCATCTTAAGAATTATACCATTTTAGATTTGTTATTGCTTACATTATAGATCATTTTTAACTGGTTTTATATTGCACCCCAAAATGTGTCCGTTATCTTTTTAACATGTTGAAACAGAAAGGTTAACATGTGTAGATTTTGATTGAATTAACTCTGGTTTTTGCTTTTTTAAAATATTAATTATTAAATTAAAGGTTGACATGTGTTGGTTTGCCTGCCAATCCATGGTGAACTCGCCACACGTTTTTCACAAGTTCGAGTACATGACGAGATCACTGGAGGTATATGTGTACTACTTCACCGTGTGGTGAGTTAACTGGAAGTCTGCGCCACAAACCATCAGCAAAATTATGAAACCTGTGAAGCCATCATCAGCTGCGTACATTGATTTCATTGAATACCTCAAAGTTGGTTCATAAATCTGGTCCGTCCCTGCACCAGATATTTTGAGTCAAGCACTTTTTTAAATTCTTTGCGTTTGTTCTGGGCATTGATCTTCTCTCGTTTAGTTTTGGTACTTTTCCTGGAATTTTTCAATCAATACGCCAGCTGTTTCTCTTTTTGTCTGTTGCTGTTATCGTCACACTTTACTTTCCATAGGGTTCAGAAACCATTTAAAGAGTTGAAATTCGTGATGTAAAAAAGAATAATCTCCCATCTTTATGTTCCTTTCGTTTTTCTTTCCTCTCGTCTCCCACATCCTTTTTTTAAAATTTGCTTTTTTCTCTGATTTTGTCTTTTTAAGGTTTGTCATGGTGTTTCATCCTGTGCAATCGAGTACAATGATTTTTGTTAACTAATTATGTTATTCTCCTCTTTGTATTTCAGATTTCAGGTCTCCTTCTGCACTGCACTGGGCCGTGGGCATCATAGCCCCACTTATTATTGCACTGTATGGCCTGAGAAAAAAGAGTCTTGATCGTTCTGGTGCTGCTGCTGGTAAGTGAGGCTGAACATTTGCTAGAAAGAAGGTATTGGTGGACATGGACCGTGGTTAGAAACCCTTAGTTGTTCCTCTAAGAAGAGAGGAAAAATAGTGGGGGGAGACGAACTCCTGGGCAGCTGTCATTTTTTGGTTATCTGCATTTCATTATAATGCAATAAAATTTCCTTCAGGATAACATTACACAAGTCAGTTCCTTAGGTAAGATGCAGAGTATTGAGTTCCTGCATGCTGAGAGAGAGAGAGAGAAGGGTGTAAATTAAAAAGATTTCTTTTAAGTCAATCTCATTGTGGTATTAAGATCACTCTATCATGTTTTTACCAAAGCAGTGACTCACTCTAATTAACGTAGTTTAAGTTATTTATCAATGAGAGGATGATCAGGTTTCCTAGTGGATTGAGTAAAGTTTACTGAGAAGAAATGTTCATTATGTTCATTGCTTTTTTCTCTTCTACTTTCTATTTTCAGGCCTTATTGTTGGATTTCTCCTCTCTGTGAGCAGTTTTAATTTCATGGCTTCACTTCTGTCATTCTTCATCTTTGCATCAAAAGCGACAAAGTTTAGATCGTCAAAAAAGAAAAAGCTGGAAGCTGAGTTCAAGGAAGGTAAGTGGAACTTGTACAGAAAATTATAAGTTGTTTCTGTAGGAAATATCATGCCGTTCAATATAGAAGTGTAATCATGTTTCACTACTTAACATTATAATGGCATATGACATAGAAATGCTCATGTGATATACATATCACATCGAATAAATCATTAATGTAACAAGAGAGGTTTAAATTTCTCACAAAATGGATCACTTTACATTTCAAATGAATTTCCACTGACGGAATGTCCATTAATCATTTGACTTGGATCACAACACTTGTTTGGCTAGTCAAAAACATTACCTTGCAATGTGGTTACTTACAGGACCCACAGCAATATGTGTCACAACGCAGTGGAATCAGGCGCTTGTCAATTTTGGGACATATGGAGCTATTGGTATTGCACAGCGGTTATGGAGCGCCCATTTAGTTTCGGCTGGCGCGAGGCAAGCAAGCCCTCGCTTCCCCAGGTCACGGGGTCATTTACCTGCGCCGCCGGGGATTTCCCTAATCAGCCGAACACCGGCAGCGCTCTTGTATTTTTTGCAAAGTTTACCAGCACAGTGAGCCAAAGCTAATGTAAGATGCATATTTTGATAAAGACCACGTAAATATTCAACATATTAAGGAAGAAAATGAAGAAATCGGAAGAACATGGTACATTACACTTAGAAGCTGTGAAGTTCTCAAAAAGGGGTTTCTGTATAAAGACATATATCATGTGATGCATGACTGAATATGTGGTATTCTCTCTAAAGTGATTGGCTTTCCATGTGCAATTACTGTGTGGATATCTTTGAAGGTGTCTTTTACGTGAACAAATTTCTCTCTCAGAACAATTAATGCAGTGTCTATTATGCTTTGATTTCGTGTACATGCAACTGTTCCTTTTGCTAAAAATGATGCTAGCTGTCTGTACACATGGGCTGTGATGAATTTATGGCAGTGGCTTCCTATAAATGAACGGCTGTTGTAGGCCTGTGGTGTGATGTTGTGTTGTTTGAGGATGTTATCAAATTCAGAGCAGGCAGGACTTGACCTTGGAATAAGCTCCTCAAACTCTAACTCTGACAGCTGATCATGTACACTAGAACCCTTCCTCTCAAATCTCTCTGCTTCTCGTGGATTATCCGACAAAATCTGACAGCCCTGTAACAATTGAATGTCCTCCTCGTTTTTTTCCAGCCCTCTTTCATTTTTTGCCGTAGATATGCACATTTTGTCCTATTCCAGGCGTGCAATTCTCCATAGATTGATGGACCAGCTGTACATGTATATCATGTGCAGCCTCCTCAAGAAGGCGATGATGTTTGAGCACAATGCCCACCATGTGATCATGTTGAGTGTGGCACTCCATGACAAAAATATTGTTCAAAATGACAACGAAAATCAGATGTAGAGGCAAGAAAACTAAAAACAGCAAGAATGAATGTTCAGAGTGGTGGGTTGGTATTTTTTCAAAATCACAGAAAATCATAGAATAACTTCGTGCATTTGAAACTTGCACATGTAAATGAAAATTGTCACCACAATTGATACATGAATTTCTGTTTAAATCGTTGGGGGCCGGATTGAAATATCTAAATCCAAACTGAAAAAGTTCTAAACATTGAAGATGCCAGTTTGAAAATCACAGACTTACTTAAATCCCTTGTAAAACTGATATAATCGGACTTACAAGAAAACAAGTTATACCGGCCTACAGGTCAAACATAGCACGTTACAATGAAATCTTAATCGGCCTTGTAGCATTTATAGTTTCAGAGTTAGGAGGCTTTCAATTCGCACTAAAACGCCATATTTACTACTGCCCCGGCACAGGAGGAGTGGCGCTGCGGTCACCCCAATTAACCCCTCTGACAAGTGATTTATGACTTCGCGCTGGGCTGTCGGGCGGGGCGGGCAGGGTGGTGAGGATGGTCGGGGAGGAACCGGGGAAGGAAAACTAAGTGAGCGGTCTGGACGGTATTTTATCCGCTGTGATTGTCTTGAAGCCTGTCCATTTGCCTTGCTTTTGATGAAAAAAAAATATCGATTTATCTTGGATACAAGTCAAGATAATGGCTTTTGAAGGAGGTGGGGGTCGCCTGGTTTCCCAGAGCTAGGATTAGTGAGAAAATGGCTGCCAAAGTTGAGTTATTTCCTTAGTTTGAGAGTCCATGAAAACTGAAAATGTATATCTTTTATGCCTTTAATCAACGCATTTCCAGTAAAATCCTAACAGAAATGTATTCTTAAAAGGCATGAAAGGCGTTGAGCCAAAAAACAAAAATTGGATAAAAATTACCAAACCTGCTGAAAAATGCCAGTTTCTTGACTTTCATTATTTCGACAAATGTCTGATTTCACCAAGCTGCCTCACCTCATATGAGATTAATAACTAACTTAAATTTTATTACAGTAGTCTCTGCCTAAGATCCTGGTGCTCGGGAGCAAGGAAATGCGGTATCTTAGGCGAACCGGGATCTTAACCGACGAACCCAGGGAAGAACCTATGGTGACACATGCTAAGGCTCGCAATAGGTACAATGGTCTCCCTCCACTCTAAAATGAACTGACATGACTGCTTGGTGGGTTTATGACGTATGCGAGCAAAGAGTGGTTAACCTTGGTGAACTATCACAGTGCATAGTGGGATGAGGCGTGCCATTGTCACTTATCCTATCATGAGTCTCAAGATCTACGCGTATCCAGTTGCCCCTCCCCCTTACCTGTCGAAAATTTATAGTATTCCATCTCTGACCGAGACACAGACAGACACACAGACAGACAGAGACACATATTCATACATACGCACATACTCCCCCCCCCAAACAGCCTTTGTCGTTACACACCATTATGTTGTGAACACACCAATTAAAATTCAGTCTGTCTCACAAATTCGGGGGTAGAGACAACTTCTGCAATGGTCGGGGAAGAGTTCACAGTTCGATGTGATCCCACCTGGAACGAACGTGTAAGCCCTACCCACCCAGCGAGTGATGTAAGTTTAGGGGGAGAGCTCAGGTGTGAGTGCGATGCGTGGGGAAAACAAACGCGTCGGTCAGTTCATACCCCGGTGTGATCTCGTCGGGGGCAAACATTGTATCGCTTCATCGAGTTTTACAACGTGTATGTGATCAAATTCACGATAGTGGCTGATCTTTGACGCGACGGACAGTTTATTGATCTCAACTTTTCACTCTTGCTTGATCGGCTGTGCCCGCCCGGGTTTTTGTTCCGTAAATTATGATCTGAAATGTGGGATCTTAGCCGAAGGTAGACTTTCAGAGTGAATCAGAGTGGGATCTTAGGGGTGACTTTTGTATAGTAAAAATTCTGTTTTCTTAAAACAGCGGGATCATAAGCGAGCCGGGATCGTAAGCGGTGGGATCTTAGGCGGAGACTACTGTATATGTAGCTGTATGTCTGCTTCCAATGGTTTTGTGGCTATGGATTTTGCAGAAATATTACAATGCTAGTATATGATGGAAAAAGATGATTTTAGAATGTTATGATACCTTCTATTACAGGTGGGCAAAGAAACTGGATTCAAGTCATCTGTAATGGTGGCCCAGCTGCGTTGTTAGCCATTTTTTATATGTGGGAGGTGAGTTTTGCTCAATGTTTTCTTTGTAGGGATTTTAAAAATCAAAGTTTGATACCCTTTGGACAAAAAGTATGTCACCATGGAGGCGCAGCATTTAGTCGTCATTAGAGTGCCTAAGTTAAGAAGAAAACTACTTCAGGAACGATACAAGAAAAGTTTGAACCTCATTTTGAATGTGAACCTCAAATTTTCCAAATCTACTCTTTTCATGCTACCATTCTTATTGTATTTCAACAATGAAGACTTTGATTAATGAAAGTAACCCTTCACTCAAGTCGAAGACATATTTTCAAAATGTGTTTGTTTTGGTAAGTATTTATCAGGGCTCGCGATTGAAAAGGTCATATGGGGGGGGGGCTCTCGTGGCCTAGAGGTTAAGGTGTTCGCCTCTCATTCAAAGGTCTCGGGTTTGAATCCAGGTGGCGACAGAAACATTTTCTTCTCTGTAATGGTCTCCTTTCACCTCCTTTCCTGCTCTCTAGCAATGTTCTGTCGTCTGCTTTCGTCTCCACTTTCTGCCCTCACCCCATCACCTCCTTTGCCCCCTCCCTTGGGTTCCTGACTCTTTCTGCAGCCTTTCTACTGCAACTCGCTGGCTGCTTACAGCTTTCTTTCAGCCCCACCCCTGATCTTCGTGGGTGGTTGGCGGGTTTTCTGGTGGGGTTTGCTTCTTCTTTTTTATCAAACACCTATCGTCCTTATCTCCCCTCCTTCTTTTTTATGTTTGTTACTCTCTTGTAACACCTCTAATCTTGTGGCGCTCATATGACTTTATGCAGTTGCGAGCGCCGTAAAACCTCTACTAAAACTTAAACCTCTGATCTTCTGGAAGGAAAGATCTACACCTAGCCTTCTCGGACAAGGGCGAAAAATCTGGGAGGTCCAGTGTGCAAGCTGCGCACTTTAATGATCCCTTGGTGGTCTAAAGTAGAGTAGGCTTCGGCTGCCACCCGGGCAAAATTCAAAATTTCCTACCAACTGAAAATGTTTAATGTGTCCCGCGCGCTCATATGACCTCATGCAGTAGCGAGTGCCGTAACACACTTAGAAGGAAAAAAAAAAAGGTCATATGAAGGCTAGGTGTTCAAGCTTACCTACCCAAAGATCAGGGGTGAGGCTGAAAGACAGCAGTAAGAAGGAGCCAAGAATTAGCTGTAGAAAGAGTCAGGAGCCCGGGGAGGAGGGGGGGGGGGGGCAAAAAGTGGAGATGAAAGCAGATGACAGAACATGATGAGAGCAGGAAGGGAGGTGAAAAGAGAATATCTTTATAGAGAAGAAAATTTTCTGTCAGCATCAGCTTTCAAACCCAATACCTATTGAATGAGAAATGAACACTGTACCTCTAGACCACGAGAGTCCCCCTCAAAATATGTAAGAATATAAAAGTATACAGTAGAAACTTGTTACGGATATGATAAATAACTATCACAAACAAAAAGGAAGAGACAGACCTGTGTGAAATATCGAGAAATAAAAAGTACAACTAAAACATTTCAAGGCTTAAAAAAAAACCCCAAAAAACTCAGTAACTTTGGTGAGAACTCATATCCAGATTGGTCTTCTTGGTAGAGCTGTTGTTATTGTATGTCAATTCGCGCATGCCCCTAGAGAAACCTTTGTTCTACAGATTGGTTCTGTATTTGGAAACTGCTCCACTACAAGTGACGCTCAGCGTCATGAAACATTCTCTCAGCCAGCTTCATTGTTGTTGGGGTAACTTTGAGTAGGTACACTAGGTGGGGATGATTTAGAGATGAAGGAATTTAGAATTTATCTCTCGTTTTGATTCTGTCTCTCTATTTTGCTATTGTCGAGCTGCAAATGGCAATTATCATATCTTTGTTTTTCTGTTTCACCCTAAACTTACAAGTGAATCACAGTAAATATTTTTGCCAGTGTTTTTTTTTTTTTGTGCCTTAAAAAGGTTGATTGATTACATGCTGGCAATTTATTAAAAATTTTCATGGTTATTTGTTCTGTCTCTCAGGTTGGGTGTGTGAACCTGCCCTTCAATTTTTTGTCCACTTACTCAGCTTCTTGGTATAGCGTGGCAGTTATGTCCGCAATTGCATGTGCCTCCGGAGACACTTTTGCTTCAGAGATTGGCACTGTAGTAGGAAATCTAGACCCTGTGCACATCATTACGCTTAGACGTGTCCCTCGAGGTAGGCAAATATTTGATCTATAATATAACTTTTATTGTTTGTTCTTCACTGTTTTGTTTGTCGGACAGATAATGCCATTTTGATGGCTTAGGGATGTTTGCGTGGTTAATATGTGCTGACTACTTCTCAAAAGTAAGCAGTGGGCATAGTGTTCATGGTAACTAGTAATATTGTGTATGCAGTGCATGGATGTATTTATTGTACATTTCTGTGGTCATACATTTTGTCAATAGGTCCATGTCTTAATTTACCAAATAAAGTGCATTTTGCTGCCCTTTTTTCCTTCACTTTTGTGCATTTGTATCAATGCAGAAAAGAAATACGCCATCTGGAAAGTACAGACTTATAAAATTATTTTTAAAATAATGCTGCAGTATTGCAGGGAACAAGAAGTGGAAGCTTAATTTAATAACATATTTTAAGAAGTATGCCGCCATTGGTCTGTTACTTGATTTTTTGCATATTGCTACATGCTAAAGATCAAGCAAAACATGAGTTCACCAAGATGTTACTTTTTTTTTTAGGGGGGGGGGGGGGGGGGGGGGGTTAGACTTTGAAGTTTTTATTTAGTATTTGTTCTTACTTTTATTTCAAGCCTATTTTATATTTTTATCTTCATTTGATTGTTACTATCATACTTGTAACCAGTTTCTACCATGTAGTTTAAAATCTTTCAAATTCTGAAAACATGTGGTCAACTTTCATAGTGCTTTACAGAGAGTGCTTGGCATAGAGAATAAAGAAAAGCCTCTACTATCATGCTTTGTAGATAAGTTCTCTACCCACTTTTTTCTCTTTCTTAATTTTGCATATTCTATACAGTTCTATTCTGTTTAGCTTTTGGTATCAAATGTGAAATTGTTTGTTAAAAGATTGAAAATTGCATCTTTCATATTATGATTAAATGTCATAGCTGAGTAGAAAGATCTGTCACTGAAGACAAAGTAGGGGAAGAAGAAGCTAAAATAGAAGATTGAACAGGAGAAAATATCATAGTACATCTCGTAGCTGGAAGATGTTTAGTTATCTAAGAGCTCTAAGAATATTTTGTACGATTTTGAAACTGAATGAATTGCATGCTGCTTATTTAAAGTTTCAGATGTTTTCGTGAATTTGTGTACCCAGTATATCTTTTGACAAAGTAAGCTTCACATTCAAAAAGTGAATTTGCAGCTCAAGTGCATCTCCAGATATTTTACACCCGATTTGCTTTGTACCTCTGAAGCAGATCCAACTCAATTTTTTGTGTGTACGATAGAGGACTAGTTTCGTGAAGTCATCAAATAGAAAATGGAAAAGAAGAGTTCTGAGGTCTACTCTCATATCTTGACAAAGCTCACTGTTCATGATGAAAATTTAGTGCTCCATCCTTCATGAAGCTAATGTTAAGTGATGGTTGATAAAAAATTTTCAACTGGAGTGTCTCTCAATTATCAAAAATTTGAATGTCAACAGGGAGCACTTTTACTGTGAGAGTAGCTATCAACTGTTGAGAAACAGTTGTCAGCTTTGGGGTGAGGCATTGCTTGACAAGTGCGTCAGTGTATTAAAAAAATAATTTTTTTAAAATCCAAATATTAGTATAGTAACCGTCCGTGTTATTTTCAGGAACAAACGGTGGAGTATCACTGGTGGGCACACTGAGCAGCATGTTTGGAGGGGCCGTTGTTGGAATACCTTGTTATTTTACTGTCCTCTTAACATCACAATGGACTGTCTTAAAAGACTCCCCACCCCAGTGGCCCATTCTGCTGTATGCTGTTCTAGCAGGATTGATGGGCTCTCTCATTGATTCCATTCTAGGTGCTACCTTGCAATTTTCAGGTAGGAGTGCATTTTAAAAAACATTTTGTATTGTAGTCTTTGCACTGAGCTGGAAAACAATGAGGCATAAAGTTTCTGTAAAACTTAATTTATTTTCTGAAATATGTAATATAACTTCAGCACATGATTGCAGTTGAACTCCTTAGGTTTAGCTTAATTAGATATTTTACCCACAAACAGTTGTAAAATGTAACAGTTCACAGATTGTTTTGGTCAGGATTTTTTTAGCTTTTACAATCATGAGTAACCTTCCACCATTTTTCCTTTTAAAAAAGTTTCTGATATACAGAGGATACAACACTGAATATATTTGTGCCTGTGAAAAGGGGGGCCCATATGTCGTTAAAGTCAATTTCGAGGGAGAGGCCTATAAAGATGTAAAAGTGATCACATGTCAAAAATGCAATTATATCAGAAAATCAAAGTTGAACTATTCCACTATTACATTCCTAAAGGTGTTAGCAAAAATCTATTTGGTACAAGGTTTAAAGATTGGTTTATTTAAGGGTTGTCTCAAGAGAAAATTTGTAGATTGAATATACTCCTGTAGTAACTTAGAAAGATATTAGGGTGCCAGATTGTTTAAACACTTTTATTGCATATTACCACAACTTTGTAATAAGTACAGGATTTAATCATGACTTCTTATTTCACATTTCAGGAAGGCACAAGACATTGGGCTGTATTGTGGAAAGTAAAGGGCCCAACATTGAACACATAAGTGGTTTTGAAATATTAGATAATCATTCGGTAAATCTTCTAGCATCACTTCTGACTGGGATTATTATGCCATATATTGCAGCAGAAACATGGAATTGGTTTGTCTGAAATGTCTCTGTTTATATGACTTAGTAGTAAATCTTGTACAGCAATATTACTATTATTACTTTGAAATCTGAACGCTGTCAGAGTGTGAACTTTGCAATCTTTGTATAAGCCCGAAAGCAAAAATGTAAGAAGAAAGAGGTGAAAGTGACAATTGTGGGTGAGCATGCACTGAGGATATCAGTTTTTAATATATATTGTGTGTTCTTGTCATTAAAGAAACTACTGGTAGTGTGCCCGTGGTGTATTTTTAAGCTGGACCTAATTTTGTGTATTCAAATGTTCTGTGTTTAAAAAAGCAATGCTCTGGTTTGTCTGGTTTGTAGACCTCAATGCTCTAAAGAGAGAGATGGAGGATGAGTTGTTGGGGGGGG